CTTCCATAACACCTCAGCAGTGCCACAGGATGATAGCTTCCATGCCACGGCGCATTGAGGCAGTAATTCCTGCAAAAGGGGCCTAAACCAAGTACTGAGTCCATGTGCATGCTTATACTTTTCAGAGGTCCGATATTGTTCTATGTACACTACTTGTTTTATTGATTGCATGTAATATTGTAATTTACTGAGATTGTGGATTTGGGGTTTTCATGAGCTGTAAGCCATAATCATCGCACTTATGACAAATCACGGCTTGATCTATCTTGCTTTGCATGTAATGCATCTATCTCATATATTAGTTTCCCCTTTTACGTTTCATTACTGAGCTAAAATGAACTTTTGCACGATATTCTAATTTTTCGAGTATCACCTGTATATAGCAGAAGAGTGAAAGAATGTGCTTTCTAAAGGTAATAAATTGTGATAAATGTCAGGATAACAGCTTCTATAAAGGCTAATCTATAGAGCAGTAAAGGAATAAACCATCCATTGTAGCACATATTTCATAAATATACCTTTAACCCTGGGGCGTGCTCTAAGGTTTATTCCCTGTAACATGCCTTTTAAGTACCTTTAATGCTCACATTCTCTTTCATTTTACATATCAGACTCTTCCTACTTGCTGTCTTGCAGGGATTTAGACCAAGCCCCCGGCATCTCAGGAGATATGCTCGTGCCCGGGTTGAAGAAGTCAAGCCTCTCGCTGATATAAAGCAGAGTGACCAGGAAACTTCGTCACCGCTTAGAAAAAGAAAAATTAGGAGAAGCAGCCGAGTCCAGCCCGAATTTTATCAGACTGTCCAAGTCACGCCAACTAGAAAGCTGGTATGTATCTTATTGCTTTAATTGCCTACCTATTACTGGAGGAGATCTATGATAATGGTAGCGTGTCCAAATATATGCATTTATCATTATTATCCTTTATAGAGAGCCAGCATATTTTGCAGGGCTGTAAAATGAGTATAAAGTATAATTTAAATAAAGTGTGAGTAACAAGTTCAGTGGAAAATAAGCTGTGTGGACAGCACCTGCACAAATAAGCTTACAAAGCAGAAAAAATGCAGCATCATCACACAAGACCTAAAGAATGAACGGTAATGGAGAATTGGGAACCTATATAAAACTAAACAAATGTGTTAAAGATGATTAGATGTTGTATGGTTAAAGAAACTGAAAGTACAAGTTGAGTGAGGCGAAACAGGGTTTGACTGCTTTACAGAGAGAAAAGAAACTAAAGCTTGACATGCGTTTCTAAAGAAATCTTAAAATCTAAAACAAAAGCCATAAGAATGATGAAGCCGTACAGCTACAAAGAAGAGTTGGTTATACAGTTGAGGTCAGAGGACAGGCCATTGAGTGCGAGGACCAAGAAGGGTTGTACTTGTAAATTGGAGAAGATATGTAGTTTGGGGTGTAGTTGTTGAAAGCTTTGTAGGTGAGTGTCAGGATTTTCAATTTAATCTTAAAGAATACATGAAGCTAGTGTATGTATTCAACAGAGAGGTGCAGTGTTTAAGAAACAGCAAACGTCCTGAATATGTCTGGAAGCAGCTTTTATCGCTAGTCACAGAGGAGTTATGCAGGTGGAAGGGATACTGATGAAAAGTGGGTACTGTACTTGAGACTGGAAGTAATGAGCCTTTCAGCAAGTGCATTGTTTTCTTCTTGAAGGAGTAAAGATGAAAAGACTGTTTCGGAAGGACTGAATTTCCTGTGATTTTAGTGGTTAGAAAATCCGTTTGTTTAATGACATGTCTTGTATGCAGTTGGCCATTAAGTGATTTAGTGGGTATCTCATGGGAACAATAAAGCCCACATAATACACAAGACAGTGTTTACAAGAGACAATGGATGGTGCTATGGGAGAAGGAATTCTAAAGATAAAGTAGGACTCTGTTAAAGCCCAAATCTCACATGAGTGATTACCGAAGGGATCCTGTAGCTTTATATTGGATAATATATAGTAATAGAAGGGAGAGCAGCCTTGTTTGCCTCTGAAGGCCCAGGAGTGCAACAATGTCCAGAGATGTAACAAGGCAGTTCTTACAATGTTTGATGGCTCACCAGAAATTTGCTGAAGAAGTCAAGGCACATCTAGCCAGCGGTAATACAAACGTCAAATCAGCCACAAGTCTCAGAATTCAGGGTGCAAACAGCGGTCTTCTTTGGACATGCAGAGTATATTCATAAATCTAAGGAACAGAAAGTAAAAAAACAAAACAAAAAAAATATTACACATGCTCAATGTATTCCCAAGTGACCAATGAAGTGGGATTCCGAAGTTTAATTCCCTTTAGAGCCAGAACAGCTATAATGTCTCCTTTAAGGAGCTGATCACTGATTCCCTGGACAGTGAGCCAAAATTGGGTCAGTGAAAATATAGGAGAAAAGTAGGAGAGGGATGAGCTCATCGGACGATGATTGCAGATCAAAAACATAGATTTTTCTATTGTTGCAAAATGAAGAACATCAGCAATGATCTATAAGGATGGTTTGTTTGTGAAAAACAGGTGTTGCAGTTTAAGTGCAGAAGAGTCTAAATCATACAGCATAGATTTTATATTTTATAGCTAAGTACAGTAAACAAACAATGCATTGAAAATAGGACAGTTTAAAGAAGCTTGTAGACCTACAATATAGTCTGTATAGATTGTATTCTAGTAAAAACTCTTGAAATAATACTATAGAAAAAAATATAGTTTTCTATATGATTTCCTGTGTGGGTTTAAAAAAAAAAAAAAAAAAAGTTATATGCCATTAACACAGACACACACGCACACATTCTTTACAAATGAATAGAGGACAGAACTACAGTTGTGCTAAAAAGTTTGCATATCCTTGGGGAATTGGTAATATATGTACCATTTTTAAAGAAAACACGAGTGAGCAGGCAAAACACATTTCTTTTATTTCTTATGGGATTCTTATTCAACTGTGGGTTATAACAGAATGGCACAATCATAAAACAAAACATGGCAACAAAGAAAAAATCAAATCACACCTGTTCAAAAGTCTGCATACTTTGTATTGCCCCCTTTAGTATCAATGATAGCATGCGGTCTTTTGTAATAGTTGTCTATGAGACCCCTAATTCTTGCAGGTGTTATAGCTGCATTCGTCATGGCAAAATGCCTCCAGGTCATGCAAAGTCTTTGGTTGTCTTGCATGAACCACACGTTTGAAATCTTCCCATGTGCAGCCTTCATGCAGAAGAATGCAAATGATCTGCCACTATTTTCTGATAACATGCTGCATTCAACTTTCCATCAATTTTCACAAGATTCCCTGTGCCTTTAGAGCTAACCCCCTAAAACATCAGTGAGCCACCACCATGCTTCATAGTGGGGGTGGTATACTTTTCACTATAGGCCTTGTTGACCCCTCTCCAAACATAGCGCTTATGGTTGTGACCATAAAACTCTATTTTGGTCTTGTCACTCCAAATTACAGTGTGCCTGAAGTTGAGAGGCATGTCAAGGTATTGTCGGGCATATTGTAACCAGGCTTTTTTAAGATATTGGTGCAGTAAATGCTTCTTTCTGGCAACTCGACCAAGCAGATCATTTTTGTTCAAGTATTGTAGTATTGTGCTCCTTGAAACAACCACACCGTCTTTTTACAGAGCAGCCTGTATTTCTCCTGAGGTTACCTGTGGGTTTTACTTTGTGTCCAAACAATTCTTCTGGCAGTTATGGCTGAAATCTTTCTTGGTCTACCTGACCTTGGTTTGGTATCAAGAGATCCCCAAATATTCCACTTATTAATAAGTGATTGAACAATACTGACTGGTATTTTCAAGGCTTTGGATATCTTTTTATATACTTTGTTATCTTTATAAAGTTCCATTAGCTTGTAATGCAGGTCTTTTGACAGTTTCTTTCTGCTCTCCATGGCTCAGTATATAACCTGCTCAGTGCATCCATGTGAGAGTGAACAAACTAATTGACTATAAACAGACACAAATTGCAATTTAAAAAGCCACAGGTGGGGGAAATAACCTTTATTTGCCATTTTAACCTGTGTGTGTCACCTTGTGTGTCTGTAACAGGGCCAAACACAGGGCCGGATTAACATAGGAGCTGATGGAGCTGTAGCTCCAGTCCCATGGCTATGAAATAGGCTCACTGATTTAAAATAAATAAATAAATAAATAAATATATATATATATATATATATATATATATATATATGCATTGAAAAAGGCTTGCACTCACAGTCTTTTTTTCTTTTAAAAGGTTCCTTTATTTCATTCCTTTACAATACGATCAATACAGCACAAATATACATTATAACTAACACGCTTATATAGCTAAACAGACTAATAAATCACTCAGTAAATCACTCACCACCAGGGCCGTCTATAATATGAATAGGACCCCGGGCAAAGCCTTTTCTTGGGCCCCCTGGGCCCTGTCACTGCACCCTCCCTCCCCATTACGCCCAACCCGCAATCACACTGACAGACATACTGACACACACACAGACAGACACATTAAAACATTCGCAGATACATACTGACACACACATACACTGACACAAAAATATATACTGGCAAACATTGACACACATTCAGACATACTGATACACACACAGACACATACATACTCACAGACACATACACTGACAGATATATTGACACAGACACACACAGACACATACACTGACAGGCGTATTGACATACACAGACATACTGACATACACACACACACACTGGAACACAGTGAGACATACTGACATACACACACAGACATACTGACATACAAACACACAGACATACACACAGTATGTCTGTGTGTGTTAGTATGTCTGTGTGGTGTGTTAGTATGTCTGTGTGTGTATGTCAGTATGTCTGTGTATGTCAGCATGTCTGTGTGTGTATGTCAGTAGGTCTGTGTGTGTTAGTATGTCTGTGTGTGTATGTCAGTATGTTTGTGTGTGTATATGTCTGTGTGTGTGTATGTCAGTATGTGTGTGTGTATGTCAGTGTGTGTGTATGTCTGTGTGTGTGTGTATGTGTCAGTATGTCTGTGTGTGTATGTCAGTATGTCTGTCATAGACACACACAGACACACACAGACATACTGACATACATACACAAACAGACATACTGACACAGACATACTAACACACACACATACTAACACACAAACACATACTAACACACTAACACACACATACTAAAACACACACATACACATACTAACACACACACACAGACATACTAACACACACAGACATACTAACACACACAGGCATACTAACACACACACAGGCATACTAACACACACACACGCATACTAACACACACACACACACACACAGACATACTAACACACACAGGCATACTAACACACACAGACATACTAACACACACAGACATACTAACACATACTGACATACATTTAGCCACCCTCCAGGTTCTTACCTTTTTATGGAGGGTGGTTTCCCTGGGGTCCAGTGGCAGGCTGAGGCAGAGGGGATTTCTTCTCTGGAACTCCCCTCCTCCCTGCCTTCCTCCTCCCGCACGGCTATCTCCGGTGGGAGGAAGTGACATGCGGTACTCACTTCCTCCCAGCCGGTACAGGAAGGGGCCCGATCGCGCTGTTTAAGTGTCACAGCGCCCAACAGGGCCCCTTCTGCCACATGCGCACAGGGTGGCCCTTAGTGCATGGGCCACCCGGGGGCCTCCTTAGTTGGCGGGCCGGTGCGGCTGCACCGCCGGGTACATGGGGCTGCTGAAATCGCGGGGCCCACGGGGCACAGTAACTCGTGTAGGTGTGAGTTATAGGCCCCCAGGAGAAATAGAAGAGTTAGATAATTTACTAGTTGAGGAAATAGCTAAAATGACAATAAAGGGGGAAGTTATCATCATGGGTGACTTTAATCTTCCTGATGTGAACTGGAAAACCAAAATAGCTGCTTGTGCCAGGAGCACACATATTCTAAACTCTCTACTGGAATTGTCTCTAAAACAAGTCGTTGAGGAGCCAACTCGTAAAGAGGCCATACTAGATTTAGTGTTGACAAATAGCGATTTGGTATCAAATATTACTGTAGGTGAAAGTTTAGGATCCAGCGAGTCAGTGTGGTTTAATATAAGAACTGTGACTGAGTCACACCACACAAAAACAACAGTTTTAGACTTTAGAAAAACAGACTTTTCTAAAATAGAAACATTTAAATACATAAAGGGAATCAACACAGTAAAGGAGGAGGCTATATTTAAAAGAAGAAAAACTACCACAACAAGAGGACATTGTCTTAAATTAGAGGGGCAAAGGTTTAAAAATAATATCAGGAAGTATTACTTTACTGAGAGGGTATTGGATACATGGAATAGCCTTCCAGCTGAAGTGGTAGAGGTTAACACAGTGAAGGAGTTTAAGCATGCGTGGGATAGACATAAGCCAGTTAGTCTACTGGGATCACTGCACTCTTACTGCACAGCTCCTATCTGTGCCTTTTTAATAATGACACGGCTGGAGTGACATCATATCCTGGCTGCCAGCACCTCTACAGTGTGCAGTGACAGAGCTGTGCAGGAGGAGCACCATTAAAAACACAGCTCTCTCACACCTCTCCCCCAGACTGGTATATTTGGGCATAGTGAACCGCCCTTCAAAGCCACTTTAGGCTCACGCTGACTTTGATTTGAGAAGGTAATTACAGTTTAATAAAACTTTTATAGATTTTCTTCTCCTTCTATCCATATGATGAACATCTATATACGAAAATATACTGATATGGTTTGAGTCCATCTGCCCCCCAAAATTTTCTTCTAGATTAGCCATAAAGAGATTGGTGTATTGTGACTCCATTGCTCATTGAAGTGCCATTCATTTAAATTTACTTATCAAATTATAAAAAAAAAAAAAAATCATCATTTTTCTTTCAAATTTGAATAAGGCCTAAGGCCCTGATAATCTAAATATTAAAACATCAATATAAATCCTATATTTTAAAAAAACAAAACAATATATCAAAATATTTTCCGAATATTAAATAATTTTAAGTTTAATAATGTAATAATAAGTTTATCCAAAAATATCAAATAATTTGAAAACTGTATCCAAAAATATTAAATCAAGTCCTAAATGTTCATGCAGTTAGAATGCCTACCTTATAAAATACAAATGTTTTTCATATTGCAAAGTTTAATATATTTTAATGCATCATTCTATCTCTTCGCGTTGGATTTTGTACACATTTAAAAATAAAATAATGAGTAGCATGTCAATAGTTAAACTAAACTGGGACTTCCTTCCAAGGAAGTGCCTTTGAAACATCCACATTCAATTTTTCAGTGTCAGAACAAGTCCCTGTTTAAGGAGAGTCTATTTCCTTTCATACAAAATAGAAGAAAATTTGGTATACATGACATTATCTTTGAATTGCCAAGAATGGAGTGGTGGATAGTTTGTGTGATGAATTCTGTATTTCTCTCACTTGGCTCATGCTTTCCAAGCTGTGAACACTACTTAAACCGTAAGTTATGTTTCCTTAAAATATCATTTATTGTAAATCTTATTAGGGTTATTTTGTAAGCACTGATTGATTTTGAGCATATTCAGAGGGAGAAATCAGGGCAATACATACCAGTTTTGATACAAACAAGGAAATTAACAAAATGTATTATCCTCTGAATTGCATAATTCCACCTTCCATGTTATGCATTAAAGTGGTATTTGAGGGGAATTCTCAGTGAATTTCAAATGTTAGGCAACTATAGGCAAAATCAGCAATGCTATCAGTTCAGCTATTTTGGCATAAAAGATTAAATCCACTTGGAATTCTTGCAAATTCACATTTTAGTGAATGATTGTTCAGTACGTATTTCCAAATTACAGCCCTGCAAAAATGGACCAAATTGGTTAAGTATACCTGAGGCATAACCTTAAGATGGGCCAACAAACTCATAACTATATAACTGTAGAATAAACTGCGGCACAATTGGTAGATTAGTGTTGAATTAAGTGCAGAATTCTAGTCCGGCAACAGGTTAAAGCTAAATAAAATGTATTAAATAAATAACTGAATTAAATTAAAGGTTCACTCACTCTCACAATGAACAGAGTGCCCGCCCTGCAGAGTGCCCCTCCTCCCACTGGTGCTAGGGTTTATAGACCCATGATGTTAAATACCCATTCAAGCACCCCTCAATCCCATAATGAGAGATAGTGCTTTTATAGTGTGATTCACAATAGGATTACATAAAATTATTTGAAATCCTTAGCTCAGATGGAATTATATATATATATATATATATATATATATATATATATATACACGACAAGTTTATGTGATTTTATGCAAGTCCAAAGAAGTGACAGAAGTAAACTTTATATATTTAAATTTAAAAAAAATGTATGCTTCATTAATCACTCCCATTCAATGTGTTCCATTTTATAACAATTTATCTTTTTGAGCTTTTGTACTTTTCCATAGTGCGGACAGTTTTTGTATATGCAGTAATATATCCGAACACTACAGTGTTAAGTACTGGTAGGTGTTTGAATAAACAAATACCCAACACAAGTTAAAAAAATAAATATAGGCTAGAAATCAATCAGAGTGCTCTGAGCCTAATTGCAGGGCGGGGCAAGGTTTTATAAGCCTTCCCCCACCCTGCAGAGCTCAGTCTGCGCGGAGCCCTCCATGGGTGAAGATGGATTTTTATTTTTTTTGCACTCAGTTTTTTTTTTTGTTTTTTTTTTAAAGTGTGTCGGTTATTATGGATTTTTATTTGGCCTTTTTTGGGGCTGAAAAAATAATATTTTAGAAGAAAGGAGACATCAAATGGTAAGTTTTTTTTTTCCAGCTAATGGTCCCGCCTCATTATTTTTAGGGTGAAGGGGGTAGGTAGGGGTTATTTTTTTTCTTTTTTGGGAGGGGGGTGACTAGGGGTTACATTTTTATTTAGGGCCCCCCATCCACTGCTCAGGGGTGGACAATAGGCCTCCCCCTTATTGATATTTAGGGCACCCCACCCGCCGCTCAGGGGTGGGCGCTGGGGGGAGGCAATAGGTCCCCCCCTATTGGTATTTAGGGCCCCCACCCATTGCTCAGGGGTGGGGGCCGGGGGGGAGGACAATAGGTCCCCCACCTTATTCTTCTTTAGTGTCCCCACCCGCGGCTCAGGGGTGGGGGCAGAGGGGGAGGTCAATAGGTCCCCCCCTCTTATTTTTCTTTAGGGCCCCCACCCGCCGCTCAGGGGTGGGGGCAGGGGGGAGGACAACAGGTCCCCCCCTTATTCTTCTTTAGGGCCCCCACCTGCCATTAAGGGCTGTTTACTAGACATGCCCCTACTCGCGGTATAGCGAATAGGGGCATCATTTACTAATACTAAGTAATCTTTATGTAGTATTAGTAAATTTGTCTGAAAGACCAATTTAGGTGTTTCAGCCTTTTAGTAGATAGCTCCCTAATACCGTGGAAATTAAGGAGTTATCTACTTATTCATTCCTGTCATTCCATTGACTGGCTAAGTAACTTACATTTTATATGAATGTGTGTTACTTGATTGTTGTAAGTGTTGCAAATGCTTACAGCTGAATCCTGGCAATGTTTGTATACTTTTTATTTAAAATTGTATACGGTGTAACATTCTTCATTCTTCCACTGGGTAAGTATATTAGTACTTAGGCAATACTGTGCTTCGGAACTTCGGCAACTTCGGAAATTCTGCAATTTCGGAACTTCGGTACTTTGGCAATTCAGCACTTTGGCAATTCGGAAATTCAGCTATTCGGACATTCGTCAGAATTGACATTCGAACAAAACTAATTGCACATGTCTACTATTCATGAGATTTCCCACAGTAGGGCCACTGTCTCTTCTTGGACAGTAGTTTTTTTTTTTTTGCTAAAGGTTTGATAGGGATTCATATTGGATTGTGTTGTCTGGCCCCACGTACCCATTGCTTCTCAGAGAATAATATGTCTAATCTCACATTAATTAAATTGTATGTCCTATTGCAACATACAGAACAAGGATTAAATATGCAGAGTGATATGCAAGTAATATGCAAAAGTAATTTTCTGTTTTCAAGTTCCCAAGGTATCTCCACTTGAAATAATGTTACATATATTTCAGCCACAGTAGTGAAACTACTTTGGACTCTCAATGAGTCACTTGAAGCATTATAACAACCTATGCTCAATGCATAGATTATGGCACAGAGAGGACCACTATGTCAATGCAGAGAGTGGCTTATAACTGTAGCGATTTGTGAAAATCGTTGCAGCTGTAAAACTGACATCAAACGGAAAATGTCACTTCAACTGAGCTATCCAATGTCCATCAAACTTGTGCATATGGCGGGTGCATACTGAGTGTGTAAACACAAGCAGCTGGTCTGTAGAAAGCCGCTTCTCACATACTTGGTAGCTAGGGAGATTGCTCGTACACAGCTGCAGTATGGATATTATCAGCTTAGTCAGAAGTTCCAAGAAAAGAGTAGGTTTGATTTCTATGCCCTGTATCTTTGGTGTTGAAGCACATATCTTATCGAGAAGAGATATATGAATTATGAGGAGCAGAGGGATAGAGATATACAGATATTAAACTTGGAGATGAATGTAGAGGTGAGATAAAAAATACATTAAGAAATGCTTATGATGGATTAATGATTAATATGCTGAATTTTGTTGTAGTTTGCTAACCTAGCATTATGTTTTAAAAGGTCGCAAACAGGGAGTATTTCACTATGATCGTCACTCAAGATATCAGCTAACATACCATATAGCAGAAACAACATGCCAACAAGATTTTGGGGCAACATTAGCAACCCGAGACCAACTTTTGTCAGCATTACAGTCTGGCCTTGAAGAATGCAGAGCAGGATGGATAACATCTGGAGAGGTTGCCTATCCCAGGATCCACAAACATTGGAACTGCGGTGAAAATAAAACTGGCATTATTTCATATGGAATAAGGCAAAACCTGCAGGAGAAGTGGGATGTTTTCTGTTATAAGGAAGGCGATGACTGTTCACATTACAATAGAGCATATTCTGGGCTACTTATAACAACAACAGAACCTTCTAGCATTGTACTGAATGAATTATTTAAGGCACAATCCAGTAATCAAACCTTCCAGTTGGAGTCTATTACATCTCCCACTATCAAGACTACGCTCAATTTTAGTTCACCAGCTCAGTCACCAAATTCACACATTTTTAGTAGTTATGTAAAACCTACAGATAGAAATCTTACCAGTTTTGATCTCTCCCTCCATATATCACCAATTGTAGATCCAAGTGAACCAGACAGAAATAGTTCAGAAAATCAAATCATAACAAAAAGTGTTTTGGACAACCCTGACTCGGTTACAAGCCAGGAAACCTTTATTTCAAGAGCAGGTTTACTGCTTGATGATTTCCTTATAAAATATAATAAAAGCTGTCAAAGCATTGGATGTACAAAGGCAATAAATATCAGTTCATCCTCAACAGTGGTGCCAATGTTTATGTCTACAGAGAAGGTTTCAGTAGTTAGATCTGAGGACAATGATCCAATAAACAAGTCCAACGTAGGCTTCTCACAAAGCAATAAAAGCCATCTTACCACATCCCCTGAATTGCAGATTGAATTAAACCCAAGCCCAACATCTGCCAACAGTAGCTTCCTCTTAAAAACACATTCACTGTTGGAACAAACTAATTTCCTTCCTACAAATGAAACTAGCAAAGGTGTAATATCAAAATCTGTGTTTCAATCACTGACAAATCCAGATTTAGAAGCAACCCATTTAGATGGGAACATAACTCCAATTGTTGA